TTTTATATATTATTAGAAAACTTTCTCTGACTTTTCCTTTTTTTTTTTTTAACGAGAACGTTTAATTACCGAAAAGATCGAGTGAAGGAGAAAAAAGAAAAAGAAAAAGAAAAAGATAAAAAGGGAAAATATTTTTGTTATTTCTAAACGAAGTGAAAGTAAGAATGTAACGAGTATCATCAATTGTTGTTACGAGAACTTCATCGTCCACTTAATCGTTAAGATTTAATATACACTATTATTAATCGTGTTTATTCGTAGAAAAAAAAGAAAAGAAAAGAAAAGAAAAGAAAAGAAGAGAAGAGAAGAGAAGAGAAGGGAAAAAAATATAACTTACGTGATGCAATTAAAAAAATAAAAAATAAAATAATCAAATGATTTAACAGTCAAATGATTTTGAAAAAGATAATAATAATTATATTATATATTTATATAAAATATATATATAATATATTCTACTATAATCGACTATATTCATAAATCCAAAACGAACAACCCCAAAACCACAATAAATAAATAAATAAATAAATAAATAAATAAAATAACAAAATCACAAACAAAAATATATTCAATATAAAAAAATCCTATAACAAACAAATAAATAATAATAAATAATAATTAAAATAAAAGTAACACAAACACACACATAAAATCTAATTTAAATTGATATATATATATATATACAACATACTAAAAAATTACCTTGATTATAATATCGTTATCTTGATAACACATGACGAATGATCATCATCTTACAAAAAAAAAAAAAAATTTCCTCATCTCAAATTCCTCAATTCCTCAACAACAACAAAATAAAAAAATAAAAAAAGTGTATGGTAATGAAAAAAAAAAAAAAAGAGAGAGAGAAAGAGAGATGAGTTGACTTAATGACAAAGTGGAAAGAATTTCAAAGATTTCACGTTTCTAGTCGAGTCAAGTTGAATCAAGTCAAGTCAAGTCAAGTCAAGTCAAGTCAAGTTGATTCAAGTCAAGTTGAATTGAGTAAGTGTACAACGTGCGCTCGCGTGCACTTTTTAATTACACAGTCTACGTTAGTTTGAAGAAACATTGCCGGAGTAAACAGATAAGAGCACAAAATTATAAAGTCACCGTAATATACACTTCCCCCCCCCCTCCTCCCACCTCCCACCTCACTCCACCCCTCACCCATCACTCCACCCTTTACTCCACTCCACCCTTCACCCCCTCACCCCACTCCACCCCTCACCCCAACCAACCTTGTATCTTCTTCTATCTCACTGTCTCACTGTCTCACTCTCTCACACTCTTATACTCTTTTAGTATTCTTTTCTCTCTCTCTCTCTCTCTCTTTCTCTCTCTCTCTCTCTCTCTTTCTCTCTCTCTCTCTCTCTCTTTCTCTCTCTCTCTTTCTGTAAATATATAGTCTTGTGGTACGAAATTTCATGACAAACTTTACACCAACGATGTTATAACCATATATATACATATATATACATGTATGTGAAGAAATATACAGACGTACGATGAATATACACATTTAGGATGAGTATACACTTATACATATAAAAAGATACAAATAGGATGAGGACATATATATATATATATGTATATATGTATGTGTATATACCTGGAATGTTACCTCGCGATACGATTATTTTAGTTGCGTAGTTGGTACCTTTGAAACTGACGACGTTCACGAGATAGAGTTAGGTTGAATAGTTTGCACCTTAAAGTCACGAGTATTGCATCGTTTTTCCACGAGTCTCTATCTCTTCTTCTATCTTTTATTATTTGTTTTTGTATTTTTTCTTTTTCTTTTTTTATTCTTTTATTTTATTAATATTATTTTTGTTTTTTTTTTTCATTTTAAATCTTGTTGGATTGGAGAAATATAAGAATAAATAATAAAAGTTCAAATATTCACAGTGCAAATCATTTCTAAAATAATTAATTAATAATATTTGTATGTGTATTTCTGTGTGTGTGTGTGTGTGTGTGTGTGAATATTTTATATTAAATTATTTATATAATTTTTTATATAATTTATTTTATTTATTTATTTTATTTATTTATACAATTTTTTATTTTATAAATAATTTGTATTAAATATTATTATTATTTGAATATATTTATATAATTTTTATTTATAATTGTATGAATTATTTATAATAATATGTATAAGATATTATTATTATTTAAATATATATATATATATATATATATATATATATATATATTAATAATAATAATATTTAAATACAATTTTTATTTATAAATCATGTATCATGCATTTTTTTGTTTTTTTTATCATCTTTTTATTAGTCTAAACATTATAATGATTAATTAATTTCTCGTCAATAAGATGTAAATAACCACTTGGAAATATATCCTGACGTATATTCGTGTTTACTCGCGTGCATGAATGAATTAATAAGTGATTGAACAGATACGTGTACATGTGTGTTTATATAAATGTGTAAGTATACATATTTGCATAGGTAAAAGTCATTTTTTTAATTGGTAGTACGAATTATATTAAAAAACACAAATGATCGTATCTCATACCAATCTTTCTTCATAAAATTAATTTCATCAAACTTTTATAATATTAAAAAAAAACTACATTGTTTTAATTAATTAATCCCTTAATTATTATTAAAAAAAAAACCCTTATAACATATATATATA